AAGTCACATAAGAAAAATTGATGTGACTTGCCAATAAATCTCAACCACACAATGTAGCACTCTAGGAAACTTTAGGCAAAAACCACTTTAGAGGATCCTTACTCTGAAAATGAGATTCCTCGAAATGCGTGCACACGGGCACGCAAACCGAGAAAATGACAGAATGCGATCTAAGATACAACCTAATATGCACTATGCTGTAAAAATGAGATGCCTCGAAATGCGTGCACATGGGCACGCAAACTGAGAAAATGATAGAATGTGATCTAAGATACAACCTAGCATGCACTATGATGTAAAAATGAGATGCCTCGAAATGCGTGCACATGGGCACGCAAACTGAGAAAATGATAGAATGTGATCTAAGATACAACCTAGCATGCACTATGATGTAAAAATGAGATGCCTCGAAATGCGTGCACATGGGCACGCAAACTGAGAAAATGATAGAATGTGATCTAAGATACAACCTAGCATGCACTATGATGTAAAAATGAGATGCCTCGAAATGCGTGCACATGGGCACGCAAACTGAGAAAATGATAGAATGTGATCTAAGATACAACCTAGCATGCACTATGATGTAAAAATGAGATGCCTCGAAATGCGTGCACATGGGCACGCAAACTGAGAAAATGATAGAATGTGATCTAAGATACAACCTAGCATGCACTATGATGTAAAAATGAGATGCCTCGAAATGCGTGCACATGGGCACGCAAACTGAGAAAATGATAGAATGTGATCTAAGATACAACCTAGCATGCACTATGATGTAAAAATGAGATGCCTCGAAATGCGTGCACATGGGCACGCAAACTGAGAAAATGATAGAATGTGATCTAAGATACAACCTAGCATGCACTATGATGTAAAAATGAGATGCCTCGAAATGCGTGCACATGGGCACGCAAACTGAGAAAATGATAGAATGTGATCTAAGATACAACCTAGCATGCACTATGATGTAAAAATGAGATGCCTCGAAATGCGTGCACATGGGCACGCAAACTGAGAAAATGATAGAATGTGATCTAAGATACAACCTAGCATGCACTATGATGTAAAAATGAGATGCCTCGAAATGCGTGCACATGGGCACGCAAACTGAGAAAATGATAGAATGTGATCTAAGATACAACCTAATATGCACTATGCTGTAAAAATGAGATGCCTCGAAATGCGTGCACATGGGCACGCAAACTGAGAAAATGATAGAATGTGATCTAAGATACAACCTAGCATGCACTATGATGTAAAAATGAGATGCCTCGAAATGCGTGCACACAGGCACGCAAACCGAGGAAATGACAGAATGCTATCTAAGATACAACCTAGCATGCACTATGCTGTAAAAATGAGATGCCTCGAAATGCGTGCACACAGGCACGCAAATTGAGAAAATAACAGAATGCGATCTAAGATACAACCTAATATGCACTATGCTGTAAAAATGAGATGCCTCGAAATGTGTGCACACAGGCACACAAACCGAGGCGATGGCATACGCAATGCAATATGGCTAAAATGACATATAGAATGCAATATGGACTTATACTAACATGAGAGAGCCTCAGCCACACTCACATAAGAGGCCGGTAGATGAAAATGAAGTGCCTCGAAATGCGTGCACACTGGTACGCAAACCGAGGCAATGGTATATGCAATGCAAATGCATGGAAATGGCAACATGGACTTATACTAACATGAGAGAGCCTTAGCCACACTCACATAAAAGGCCGGTAGATGAAAATGAAGTGCCTCGAAATGCGTGCACACTGGCACGCAAACCGAGGCAATGGTATATGCAATGCAAATGCATGGAAATGGCATATAAGCATGCTAATGGATTTTCAGCAATGAAATGTGGGGGAAAACAGCCCCGAAATGAGGCGAAAACACACCCGATGCACAGAATATTCCCGAAACACGAATTTTGGCACCCGAAATGGCCTATAGCTATACCAAACATGCACAATATGGACATGCAATGTAAAGA